AAATATTATCAATGAACATTGTCTACACACTTCTGGAAAGGATTGAAATCTCAAAATAGAATTTATCTCACTATGAAGACGCTCTCTGCAAAAAAAAAATAAAGTGAAAACATTTCCTTAGACTTAGACCATTCATAAGCAGGCTTTTTACTATTACATGCATGTATATTCTACCCTTTAAAAATATGAAGAAAAATCCTTTGACCATTTTCTAGCAGCATTCTTGTGGTTATTCATCAGCGTTGAACAGGAAGGATCTGATAGCAACCATACTATACTGCACCTTGACTCCATTCTAAAATAAATATAGTGTCTTTGCCGACATGTTTACTCTCTGAATGCTCCTGAATATTTATTTAACAAGTCTTGAGTGCACCTTCTTCAACTGCATACAGCTTTAAAGAACCTTTAATGAGCCTTCAAAATAATGGGAAAATATAGCCTGTCCAAATAATGAAATTCCATTCACTGATTAACCTTTCTAAGGACAATTTTTTATACTACAATATTGACAATAACATTGCTGCTCTTTTAATTCTTCACACTGTTCATTCTTTCACATGGTATAGATTTTAAAAACTGAAACTGCATGTATGCTAATAAAACGTCACAATCACCGACTATACTTCCTATTACAACCTCACAGCACTTTTCCAACAAACATTGATTTTGCATTGAGTCCAGCCACTTGTTATTTTCAAAAATGGTCCACAGAGCAAAACAAGCACACAGTTACCAATACATTACAATATTAACCGGATTTTACTGTCAGAGGCATGTTACAATAACAAAGCATATTGCCTGTGTCTTGATTCCATCCCTGCATCCCCCAAATAAAGCTGAACACTGTTTTTTCTCTCAGACATTGTTAACCACAATCATATCTACAATTTATGACATCATAATACGTCAAAAAGAACGCTCTACTCCAAATTTTGAGCAATTCTGGGAGATAAAAAGAAAGAAATTAAAATTTTATCAATTTTTTTGAAAATCAGTGTTCAGGCAAAGACACAGTCTGTTGGACATCGGCAATTCATTTCCCTCTAAACATTGTAGGCCTACATTGTACCTTCGGTAGCAAAGCCCATGCACACTTAACACATTGCTCCCTAACCATCACTCACATTTCCTGCAGGTAAATAACGAGAAATACGGAACAGGAAGCAAAATGCTATTTAACCGTTGCTTAACAGCCTTTAAAAATCATTTTCTCTTCAGTGCTCAATTGAAGCATGCAACATCTGTGTTGTCATAAGACATGCCTTACTGTCTAAACAGGGAAAAGATACTCAAGGATAATTCTTAATAAACTAAGTTTCTAAAAATATCATAGTCCAATAAAACCATGTACTGAGATAGACGGCTTGTTTTTTCAACATAACCCATTTACTGGTCTGTATGCATTGTATAATAACTAACTGTACAACTTCTCCTTTTGACAAAACAGTATTGATGATGAACATACATTCAATATGAAATGATGTACTAAATCAAAAATAGAACAATTATTTTATCGAAAAACCTAAGACTTGACAAATAAATTAAGTTCTCAGACAAAATCTGGAAAAATGCTTTCAAAATAGATTTGTATTGTTTATCCCCCAAGAAGAAGAAAGAAATGCATTTTTCATGTTCAGATCTCTTATGTCTATAGATACATACATAAACACACATATGTATGTATGTACATGCAGACAAACTTTCTGGACATGACAATGACAACAAATTCTTCTGTCCAGGGGCGACTCTACATAGCTGCTCTACAACTCAGCAGCGTCAGTGACAGAAAACTACCCTGAGACTAGGCATGGTCATGATAACAATTCCCTTATGTTTAACAAGTCTCCGTAGGCCTACACTTTTGTCAGCTTCTTACCAGACCTTCTACTTAATTATCATTCATCAATTATATGATGGAAACTGTAAAAAGTGATTTCAGCTGAAAACTTTTTTGAGTAAAGAGAAAAAAAATGAGCCATAAAACGACTTTCACAATAATGAAGCCTTTCTGTACAATCTTATTTCACGCTTTATGCCCATGATAACCTCTGTATCATGAAGCATTGGGGTGTTTCTCCCTGAAAGAAGAAGGACCAATAGTCTAAGTTAAAGTGCTTTTCATTTATAATTTACATCTTATTCAATTTATGATCCATCAACATTCTACTTCAATTGATATCTCTGACCATTAAAAGCAAAAAGAAAATTATCCTCACTAAAAGTAAGAGGTTAGAAGATCCAACATGTCTTGTAATGACAACAACAACAACAACAACAACATATATGCCACACGCGGACGAAGGAAGTATACAGGGCATTTTCTTTAAAACGAGAGGCTCTTATTATGTCCCGCAGTGACCAGTCATTACTGGCAAAAATCAGGACCGGTCATTTCTCTGGGCTTCGGGCCTACAAAAATAGAATAGACAAAACATCGGACCCAATATGTCCATTGTGCAGCGAGGAGCCCCAAGATTTGGAGCACTGGCTGCAGAGATGCCCCGCCACGGAGGCCCAGCGGTGGCATCTCTTCGGGGAGGATTCAGGGAGGTTGGACTGCCTCACCCGCTACCCAAGGGAGGCGGTGGCCCTGGCGAAGACCACGCTCTTCGGGGCTCCGAACATTTCGAACGGATAGGCTACCACACACACACACACACACAACAACAACAAGACAATGTGTGCATAAGCCAATAGACAATCTTCATCTGGTTGGAGCACGGAATGCTACTTTGGCTCAAATTTACACGGACAAAAATTGAGGGAAAAAACAGACTATCAGCTGAGAATAATGACAGAGTGAGAACAATCTAGAGATATCTCTCTGCATTGATGAAAACTAGCTTTAATGGGTGCAATTTCAAAGATGGATATCAAAAAGAAAATGCTGTGTATGAACTGAGGTAATATCATTCTGTGTGAAACTCATCAGCCAAAAGGAAACATTTGCTCCGAAGCAAATGCTGCCAAATATCTATACAAACAATAAAAATCACTCCAAGATAAAAGTAATACTTTTCATTGACCTATGGTGCAAATTCAGGTCTCAACAGTCATTTCTATTATCAAAAAATGGACAGACAAATAAATAAAACGGAACAAATCAAAAACAGTACAAAAGAAAGGTCATTCAATTCAAAGCGCTAATAAGAACATTAGCACAGTAAGGTAATTCTACAAAACCGGAACACGGAATAAGATGGCTCCAGCATAATCTGTAATTCTGAGTAAAACAGGCAAACACTGGAATCACCCAAGGAATGTCAACGCCTAAGAAAACATTGGTAATGTAGAGGGATGAGAACCATAGTGTGGTCCTAGCATCAGGTACCTTAAGCTCATAACCTTCTACACCCATACTAGAAATGCACAAGCCAATGCATTCACCCATAAACACATGTACATACCCACATATGCATTCGCAGAGCCCCTCACACATTAACACATGTACATACCCACATATGCATTCGCAGAGCCCACGTATTAACTCATTGCATTGTGTCTACATGAGGTATGAACCAGAGTCCACCACACCACAGAGCTCAGACATTCCACTCACAACACTCAAACATGCACTACTATCACAGCAATTTCTGCAACAGATTAAAAGCTAGACCTCGCCAGTTTCTAAAAGACCTCGCCTCCAATGATTAATTTTTGCGTGCTTGTGCTTTCTGGTTCGAGTTCAAAATTTGTCATAACTTTGACTGGAGCCTTTGCTCCAGCTGAACTGAGTTAATTAACCTAATTGGAGGTGAGAGATATAATGAGTGGGTCCAGATAGCCATAACATCAGCCTTTTATACAAAGAGTTTTTATGCTTCACATTTCAGGTTAAAAAAGAAAATCTTAAAAATAACATTTCATCAACAACCTGTTCAGCCTAGAAAGCAAAGTTTTTCAGAAGAGAGACAAAAACTGTTTCATTTCTTTAAAAAATTGTACCATCATCATGTATCTTTTCTTGTGTTTTTTCAACTTTAAAACTTGAATTTTAACAAAATATTTCTTGAGCACATGCAGCTGATACCACCAAGTCAGAAACTGCATTTTTAAACAATTCAAAACATTGGGTTTGGTACAACTGAACAGCTAGCCGACGATTTCTTTTTGGCAAGACTACATCAAGACAACTGAAAACATGATTCTCACTCTCTACTTGATTTTATGCTACTTTTATTTTCACTGTGCTGACTGATGCTTAACATCTCTTTGCTATTGTCAACTGATTTTTCAAGGATAATCTCTGAGGTTATGTGCGCCAGAAAAATAAATCTTAATCATACATTTTCTGAAGGCATGGGTATTTATCGAAAATTTCGTTCCAATGAAAAGTGTTATGTATATATGAAAAATGAATGTAAAGAAAAATGGTCAAAACTTAGAATATGGCATTGTGAAAACAAGCTTCTCAGGATGTTAGTAAGTGCATACTTTGCACTGCAGGAACCAAAGACCAAGGTCGTAAAGATCTAGTATACGCTGCAAAACCTCACAACCACATGGACTAAGGTACTAAGGACTTGGCCCTATTTGAAGTAACATGTGCATACAATGGAAAAAATAATTAATACACTGTGCTAAAACACAAATAATAGTAAGAATCACAGCTGTACACAAATATTGAGAATGCTCAGTGTATATTAGTCTTTCTTTGATTTGACTTTAAATTCTGAATAAACATCCATGTGGGAATATGACCAAGCCCTTACGTGACAGGCAAAAAGCTGTAATGTTCCTAATTTAACAAATAATCAACCTTGTTGATGCAGTTTATCACAACAAAAGAACATTGAAAAGAGAATATCTTCGCACATAGACTGAAATGTACACCTTCATTCTACTTATATGCGCTAGATTCTTACGGCAACATACAGCTCAAATTACATCTAAAGTTTGTTTCAAACTGAAAATTATGATAAGCAGCTAGACAAATCTCACCAAAAAGCCAGCAGCATTAAACCAGTAATGAGCTTCGACATAATTGTCAAGAAGGAAAAAAATAACAATAGAGACTGCTGTTATTGCATTGGCTTTCCAAAAGAACAGCAGACTATTCATATAGATTTCACATTTTCCAAATTACCAGTGAATTGTCCTTGTCAAAAGACTCTATCAATGAAAATCTAGACTTTGCTGGGGGGTTTTCTTTTTCTTTTTAAGGACATTTGCTGCTTCCCTTTCCTAAACTGAGAATCGCCACATACTTGTCAAGACCTTACCTAAATAGTCTCTGCCACATGTAATCTGAAAAACATCTACATTCGTCTCATAAATTTCGCATTTGTGAGATTGCTATACTTTAAGAGTCATGATCAAATATGAGGTAATGTCTATTTTAGTAACACATGAAGCAGCGATATTACTTTAAATCATTTCAAGGACAACAACTCAAAAAAACAAAACAAAAAACCAGTATTGCATTTACAGTTGGGAGATGATAATTATAATAAATCATTTAACATTCAGCAAGATACATCACAGTCAAGCAAAAACACAAACAACAGCCGTGGTATCTCTGACCATCCTACCATGGCAAGTTTTGGAACACTTTTCCAGGGTGCGCTATCGCTAAATGTTACCGTCTCATAAATGGGGTGACAAGAAGCTCCATTCTCACCACCACATGATCTTTTGCATTATGTGCACACTTATTTTTGCCATAAGGATTGCAGGCTCCACTCCTCAGGAAGCGCAGATTTTGTTTGTTTGCAGAATTTCTTCATCTAAGTGAAAGCTGGGGTGCTGTCAAAATGTTTGGGTTCGGTTGTTTTTTTCTATACTACAATTATATCACTGTTTTATCTACAATCTTGTACACAAACACATTCCAAATATTCACTTTTATTCAGTACATGCAAAATATTGGAAAAGCCTCATACATGCTTCTCCACAGCACTGAGAATGCATTGGGCTAACTTTGAGCAAAAGACACGGGGAAACATTGTATGTAACACTCTCCCCCCTGTGAACAAAGGATGTAGTAACAAATATGAATGACTTATGAACCCCACTCCTCTCCTTCCTAAAAACTGTAAACACGCTGATTGGCTCCGTAAAGTTTCTAGCTTACAATAATATGTTTAACCCTATTTTATCTTTACATTTCACCTCAGGCACCACAATAAAGACAACTGGCTTCTTCTTCATAATTAGAGATAAAATTTTATATCCTCCGATGCGTTGGGGACAAAATCTTACACTTGATTATCTTTCATAGCTGCGCTATCCCATAAACAACTTCCATCTTGTGCAGATTGATACCAAATGGCACCATCTACTCTAATATTTCCACCTCCCTTGATGTTAAAAGTCACAATGTGGCAATTCAAACTATTTAGAACAAGTTGTTGAAAGATTATTTTGAGAAAGGGAGCACTGCGGATACACTTTAGGAAAGCTAACAGCTCCTCATATAACTATTGTCAAAAATGCCTCTTTAAAGTAAATGTTAGCTGGTAGTTTAAATTTTAACATACTTGCAAAAGTTCTGAGATAAAAAACCAAATACAAAAGAAATCCTGCATTAATCCCTTCATGTCTTCAAATAGTAAATAAAAGGGCATCTTTGCACAAATACTTCTTTTGAGCTCTAAATTTATTTTCACAATAAAATAACATGTAAAATGATCAAAATACAACTTTTAAACCCCAAGCAAGCAGAAAGTGCCTCTTTCCTCCAACTCCTCTAATCTTCCCTTCCCACTTTTCTCTTGAGTATGAAGAGAAAAGTCCTTCCCAACTTTACAGAGCTCATTCCACAAATGTTGGTTTGCATCAATTTGTTTAATTTTTTAAATACATGCATGCATACTCTCAATATCACTGCTGCATCTTGCTTTTCAAGGACAGAATCTTATTAGGCAAAAACACTCATGCCAGCTGTTGGGAGTGTGTTTGCTCCGGCTCGTAGTAGCTTCTACTTGGCAGGTTTTTTCAAGGACCTGGGTAAAGAGACAGAGAAAGAGACGGTAATCATGCATTCAATGATGAATAAACTAAACTATTCTTTTGCTACAATATATTATATGTGAAGTGTGCTGACTAAATGAGTAACTTCTCGGATTTGAGCCCTGTGGAAATAGATACATCATGCTCCTAGGTTAAGTTTTTACAATTTGTACGTATGAAATAACAAAAGACATTAAATACTTTATGAATATTGTATCAACAGCAAACTTAGGAATTTGACTCAAGTGTGGATTTTTGGCTAAATATCTCCATTTGTGGATTGTGAGAAATGACTCATTTTGTCAGCACGCCTCACATATGATAAACTATCATTCTATCTTGATGAATATAGCAAATTGCACATTTGTTTTCATATATACAAATCTGTCCCTTGATAAATACACTAAACTGTATTTCTGTTTTGAAAAAAAAACACCCAAAGAGGGGAAAAAACAGCCCAATAAACTATAACTAGAGTAATGACTGGTTTAATAAATACACAAAACAAAGCAAACATAACGGGTATACAGAGGTGCCAATTGGCTATGAAAAGCGTGAACTTTTCGACCTCATCGAAATGCACATGCAGGAACTCAAATCCAAGGATCATAATTTTTATATAAAGTACAAAATGGCAAAATCCAGACAATTTTTAAAAATCCTGAATTACAGACTTCAAGATAGATTCAGAAAATCAACACCTCTTACTCTAAATTATATTTCTATTTAAATAAACACAATAAATCGTATTGCCACTTTTATCATCTATATGATAAGATGTGATAAATAAAATATATACAACAAACTGAGATGCAAATATCTGGGGGAAGGTGGAGGGCAACCCTTGTGTTTGTTTGAGTAAATAGAAGCACACTAACACAACAATGGTCACAAAGATGTCGGACCTAACATCCTCTCACCCGCGACATACTCTCTCTCACTCTCTTTCTCCTTCTCTCTCTCTCTCTCTTTCCCTCTCTCTCCCTCCCTCGTGCACAGAGAGACATGCTCTTTCACTCTCAAGAAATAGCTCCCATTTCTCACCTCCCTGCAGCCTGAGTAGTATTCCCGGATCGTGTGGGTGTAGAGGAGGACTTTACCTTCACCGACGTGTCTGGAAAAATACAAACCTTCCATTATTTTCCTCTGATGTATCAGAGATGCCTCAACATATCAATGGTAATTTTAGTTCGGAAACCTATTACTAAAGATCTCGGGAAGAAATTAAAACTCAAGATGCAGTCAGGACATTCAATTTTCAAGACAGGTTTTTTGCAGATTTTTGCACAAATATTTTTCAAAAACTATTACTTTCCCAGACTTGAGCACAATCCAATTCTAACTGACATTTTGTACTCCGCAACACCTACATACACACAAACATACACATATAATACAGATGCATTAAATATTCATGTATGTTAAAATATAATGTATAATCTTCCACTTTTGGTTGATTTCAGATCTTATTTGTCATTGTTTGGAGAGGTGAAACAAAAACGGATTTGACAGACTGTGCTGGTTTTGAACAAAATGACAAAAGCTGCTTCCCAGTTCTACAAAAAAAATTTTGTTGGCATAACTTTTTAATTTTTAAAAAAAAAAATTGGGGGGGGGGTTCTGATTCCCACTCTGCATGGGTCGGTCTAGGCAGTCAGGGTCAGAGCAGCTTACCTAGTAAATTGTCTAATTAGTTGCGCCAATGTGGGCATAAAATGTTTACCAGTTAATCAGATACATTAACCAGCAGAGGTTAACTTGACAAAACTCACCACTGCTTGTGCTGTTGGCACTGCCGATGGATCCTCGTCTGGCTTGAGTGGAGGACACTGCATTGCTGGCAGAACCTCTTCTGTGGAGAGACCAGCGACCCCTGAAAGCTTACGCAATTCCATAAAGCGGCTCTGCGCCAAACTTGACAATGTACGATGGTGAGTCCTTAACTTAAGAAGGGTACCCAACCATCATACCAAATAGGCGTTAGATTTTGTTGGAGTTAAAATAAAGACGCGCACTGACACAATTGCTGTCATTTAGTTTTTTTTAGTAGAGTTTTTACGGCGCTCACACCAGCATAAGATCATATGAGCGCCAAGGGGTGGATGTCAACAGAGAAGTCCATACAGGGAATCAGGCTTACTCTGCTCACCTTTCTAGCTTCAACAGGACAAAGTCTGCTTCGACTATCAAGGCACCTCGGAAATAGCGGGTCACAAGAGTGTGACAAACATACAAAAGAAGTAGAGGAAAAATGACCATTGTAAGGTTTAGGAATGAAAAAGCAGCAGTTCCCTGTTTCAGTTCAGGCACAGTCACGAGCATGACATCGATGAATCAGCCCATTTACAATTCTACTATGCATAATAACTCAAGGGGGACAGAAGGGGGAGGGGGTGGAGGAGGGAGGTTATATTTGAAATGATTTGGCTGAACAAGGGAGCCACTGTGAACAAGTGTGAGTCTTTCATTGAAGGGGGATACTTCTTATTCAGGGCACACACTTCAATGGCAAGCTGTTCAAATGAAATCAGAAAGGACAATTTTTGTGGAGAGAGAAAAACTATTTCAGTTGTTTTACAAATTGTACCTTCATCATATATTTTTTCTTGCTTTCTGCAACATTTAAAATTTTAATTTCAATCAAATATTCCACAAGTAGATCTATATTGAACTGATACTACAGATTGAGAAATAATCATACAAACATTTTGGTAAATTTTGAGCTTCGTATATCCGAACAGCTGACGAATTATTGATTTGTTCTCAGCTTTTCTAATCATTGATATTTTAAGCCAAGGACTGTCTGCCTCACCTGCTGTTGGCCAGTGTGTTTGCTGCACCGGAGCTGGCTGGAATGTTGGTGGAACCTTTACGGGTTGGGGTCGGGGAGATGGACTTCTTGTTGGACAGGTTGCCGGTCAAAGATGGCGACGACGCTGGTGAGGAAGAAAGTTCTTGTTTAGAATGTGGAAAAAACGGCATGTCTATTTGTTTGAGAAAAGAGAAGCACAATGCAACAATGATGGCCATTAACCCTTTGAACCCTAAATCTTGAAATTTCTCAAATCTCTATCCCTGGACATTTTTCACAAATGTCATCAAAGTTCACAGTGTTTTGGGGGCACATACACAAAAAGACAGAGGGGAAGAACATGGAGAAATAAACACATCTGTTCATTCCCTTGTTGACCTTATTCCAATGTGGAAATATTGTAAGACGATGAAAAAGAAATAAAGAAAGTACTTTGAAAGGACTACACGGTGGACCGGCTTTACTGTATACAGCAAAATATTGCCTAGGCCTGCGGGTTCAAAGGGTTAAGTGCTTACGAAAAGCAAGGTAAGCAGACTGACTGACAGACAGACAGACAGACAGACAGACAGACAGACAGACAGACAGACAGACAGACAGAATTGGAAACATGTAGGACAGACCAGAAGCGCCCTCTAACCACTTGCAGTGTAAAAATGTGCTAAAAATGGCCCATTCAACGACTATAAATAGTCAGCTGTTAAATACATTATTCAGTTAAAAGTTTAAAAAAATATTAACCACCTTCCTCTTAAAAAACACCTGATTATCTTCCCTGAAGTCACTGCACAACCTCTGTCTCGCTCTAGCCTTTAAAACTCTTCTTTATGTCCTCTACATGTGATGATTTCAAGCCATCTGTTCACCGAAAGTACAGACCAGGATGAAAAAGGGAAGTGTGCTGAGCCGTGAAAACATGTTTCTCAATAATAGTATGGAGACACCAACAATACTGTCTAAAACGACTAAAAGTGGTTTTGAAAGACCAGGGAAAGATGAACTACATTTGGCAACAACCGATTCTGAATTCGTAAGTCATCTCTGATCAACCAGTGCTTCACTTAACACTTGATCCACCCATCACTAAACATATAAAGAATATACACATCAAGAATAATTTCTGATGATGAATGCATAATAATGGAAGCTGTTTTATTTCTTATAATAAACAGGCCTTGAAAAAACATTTTTAGAATCAAACTGCATACTTTTTCACATTTCGTTAGCATTGGCATCCTTTTAACAGCTAGAAAACTACAGAGAATTGTGGTGAAAAACTGCTTTATCCTCATTGTTGTGAAAATAAATAAAGTCCAGTTAACTTAAAGAGATGGAACGTTAAAAGCAATAACTCAAATGTCAAGACTTTGCTGTCTGTGATAATCAAACAAAAATAGTATATTTTTAAACTGTGTCCATTGTGATATACCATTACATAATGATTGACGGGTATTTGGTGAAGCAGAAATACGACACACAATCTATACAACAGATTACATGCATACACATAACATATCCCATACTACGTGATATAACAATAAGATGAATTTAATACACAGAGCCTATACTTCTTGATTCCACAGTTAATATATGTGTTTAAAATCCACACCATTTATGATAAGATTGCAATTTTTTTTTTTTGGCAACAAGATATTTTTTGAGAATGTGGGGCGGGGGAGGGAGGGGAATTTTTTTTAAAAGCAACATACACAAACAAAAAATATATGTACACACACACATACACACAATCTTAAAAAAAGACAAGAAAGACCAAGAGAAATTTAAAAAGACAGAAAAAGAAAAGAAAGACTGGCTGCAATTAGGAGATAGCAGAATGGGCAAAAATGAATGCTTCTGAAAATTGAATTCTGGAAAAAAATAACTAAAATAGAGCATAATCAATTGTAAATAAACAACATGCAACAACAAGAAAAATAAAGTGTACATTATATGCTGAGAAAAAGCAGTGTGATACATTTATGCTCATAAACTGTGTGAAACATGAAATCAACACACCATTAAGCAATGACAGAAAACACAGATGCATTAAATATCCCAAAAACTCAGGGAAGTTCACAAACTGTGGAGCGAACTGAGAAAATATTTCATGCTCTGTCAGACAATTCACAAGCAATATGATCCCAAAATGTCCTTTGTTGCAATAAAGGGGGAACATTCATTAATGTGAAAGCACAAAGTTCATGTTTGTGTAAACGGGCAAGACATTTCACATACCATACTAGAAAAGTATTTACATGCTTGATAACTTACAAGTGTTGTTCATCAGCGCATGAAGGAAAAACGAATTCAGATTCCAAAGGAAGACAGGAGCAAGGCACAGACAACATTTGTGAAGAATGGCACAAACATCAATGCTTATCAAAATGCATTACTTGGGACCACAAGCAACAATTTGTGCTAAATTCTGGAAAACCCAAACACTTCTGCCTTTGTAATATTCTCCACAACTTAACCCTTTCTTGGACTGTTCCAGACTACAAGCTTCTGCTGTGTCATGGTAAGCCTGCTCCCTTTGCTTATAAATGTGTGAGATAGAGGTCCCAAGAGGGGACAACATTTTAATGAATATCTCAGGTAGTCTGCTACAATGTAGACTACTTCCTCAGAATTGACCCAAAGAGACAGAGTCAAAGCGATCTGCCTTCTTAATTTGGGTTTTGTTGATTTGTCATTGAACTGAATTTTGTTCTTGTTGTGCAGACGTTCATAATAATTATATATTTTTTTGGAGGGTAGGGAGGATTCAAGATTTTTACAAGGATCCTACAGCGTACAACAGGCCTGGCAGTGGAGGATCTAGTGAACCAAATACTGCATACTTGAATATTGTCCAAAAAACTAACTGGCCCCTATGAGAGGTAAACATATTCATCTTCAATTTAAAAAAAACAACAACAACAAAAAGAACCCCGAGACAGAAATAACATGCAACAAACTGTAATCATTATATAAATATATCGCAAATCAGGAAAAAAACAGCAACAAAAATTACAACAACTAGAAAATAATACAAGCAGTTCAGTGGGGGGGATGCTGTAACCTGCAAGCCAGGCATCAGTCAAGGAAACATCATGCCGTGGCTGAAACAAGCACCGAAAAAACATTGCTTTGCCAACCTGTCTTGTTGGCTACAAGAACCGGGATCCTTCTGGCTGGCTCTTTCTTGGGCGGAGTACTGGGGCGGGGTTCTGGGACAGAATACATGGATGGCGTCATGAGGCATAGAACACACTTCTGTTGAACACAGTTTCTCTCTCATGTTTAGTTTTAATATGAGTTTTACGGCACTTTCATGAAAGTGCTGAACATTAGAAGTGTTACTATACTATAATATAGAAAGAAAAAATAGGAGATATAATGACGATAGATGTTTGGAAAAAAGGAGCTGATCACACTGCAGCACCGCCATACACCCACACAGCTTCTTTCTTATGCTTAATCTAATCAAGAAAGTTACAGAGTTCAAGACTTACTATGGTATGGAATAGTACAATATTGCATGGCACGGTATGGAAAAGTACAGACTTTATATCCCACTTCAAAGAAATTAAAAGCACATCTTGGATAGGACCTGACCACGAAGAAGAAAAACAATGAAAACTCCCTATACAATCCAACCACAAGAATGTCTATTTTGGGGTTCGAACCTGGCTTGCCCACATTGCAGGCCAGTATGATACGAACAGACATTAATCAGTATCACTAGTCAACTGTTCAGACAGCACAGCACCCTGCAGTGAGGAAAGTCATTCATTTCTCAGAGTTTTCCCTCTCTATTCCTGTCATTTCTCTCTTTCCTCAGCAATATGACCATTACTGAGTCGACGTTTTTCTTTTTAATTCAAGGAAACTGACCATCAACAAATAGATGGTTTGAGAGAAGAAAAAAATCCCAACAACTCTATCCAATAAATATCTTGAAAGTAAAGTTTTTGAAAGCCTTATTCTAATTCCAATTTAACACCTAAAATGAACAAAATTTAATACTTTTCAAGAGACAGATGTGCATTTCGATCAAGCAGACAATCAATATATATTTATAAGATGAAATAAAAAGCAAAGAGACCAAACTTTCTCTTTTCTTTTCTGGTTAAAGAAGAAAAAGTGCAGCATATCTGTTGATATACAAAGCATATTCAATATAGAAATAATTCACACAAAGTGCACACACTGTTGGGAGCAATACATAAGTATTAATTACATGACAATATTATGCAAGGCAGAGAGTATTGTTTACACATTTATTTTTACACACAAAAACAAAGTAGTCAAGAAATAGAAAACAAAAACCCCAGGGTGGAATGAAACTCAATGGGTACTGAGATACAAGTCATCTGACTGAAAGAAAATGTGCACAAACAGCACATGCTTCCGAATGTCTTGGTTCACAATATTTCTATGCTGAAAACGTCAAAAGAGAGAAAATAAACCCCAGAAAGTTTGCTGTAAATTTTTTGGTTCTCCACATAAATGCTGAGATTTATTTTCCAGTTCAGAGACCAGCTACTCTTTGAGAACGAGAGCATGCACCCAGGCAAAAGACTGAGAAACTCTGATTTGGCTGACCAAGATTAAGCCCTGTGGAATGCATGAGAGCATTTTTCTCCGCGGTTGAATAAAAGCCCAACTGGAATCTCATTATCTTTTAATTGTAGCTTAAGTCAATCTGATTTATTAACAACCACATGTCACTCGGAACAGATTAGGACAGCTGCAATGCTGGAGTAAAAGAAGAAGGAGCAAACCACACCACAGCATCAACCTAAAGCCCAACAGAACAGTGAAGGTATGCATGATGCAACAGAAAGGGAAAAGTGGGGTACAATAAAGGGAACAGTCCAACTCCTGGTGCTGAATTTAAAAAACCATATTTCTTTCCAAAAACAAAAAACCCAACTAAAAAACTTAAAGAACCCGTAGTATAAAACAAGAATCCTTGAGGAGTTTAAGAGCTCAAACTCCTTGATTCAAATTTATATGTAAGTCATTGGGCAATGCAGGAAAACATATCTGACGTATTCGAGACTTTGTACTTCAGAGCTATCAAAACCGGTACATTACTAAATAGTTCCCTTCTCTATCCTACTACAGAAAATGTTCTCAAAAATGCTGAAGATGACGTCTATATTGTTGCACATTTAGTATGAGCTGTAGGCAGTGGACTATCTTCAAAAATAAAAGAGTATTAATAAAGAGTGTTACAAAAAAACCAACTATCTGAGAAATGAAGTAAAACGTTTTCAGCTGCATTATTAGACAATTATCCTTCAGGAAGACGTCGTAGAGCTGTTACTGAGACAGCAATAATCAAACATCAAAATGACATTGCAAACCTTACTTTTTTCTGCACTCAAACTGAATTTCATGTATCGTCTTTTTAACCATAACTGAGATTGCTCAAAAAGAGCTTTCAAAGGAGTGGCTATTTTCTTTTGTGGTGAGAAAAGCAGAAACATATGCTTGAGAAATGTGACATTTTCTTAAGAATGTGAAAAACAGCAATAGCCACAACAAGATGGAAAATATTTTGAGTTTTTTCCCCCTCTTGCCAAAGAAATAATTAGAATACTGAAGATAGAACTTGAGAAAAAAAAAAAGGGCAAACCGGTCAGTATGTCAAGAAAAGTAAAAGGCAGACTTTAGGACATGAGAGTATACCACTAAACATGCACACAGGTGATGGTGTAAGGGATTATCAGAAACATTAGGATGCATATGTTCTAGTATGTCAGAACAGCTGTAAAAACGCAGGATCCACCATCGACAAAAGTCAGCTCACATCGGTCAGAAAGATATCCAATAATGAGCAGTCTACCGCGTACAAAGAGAAGAGGCTAAAATTGTGTCTTACTGGTTATAATACTGAAATTCCTGGGGGGGGGGGGGGGGATGTTATTGCCTAGTTCAACTGGAATATTCGGGTCAGCCAATCAAGACAGCCCCTTTGATAGGAAATGTACTAATTCTAAAACAAACTCTTTTTTTAATGGCACAATTAAGTTATCTTAAAGGAGCAGCACTTGGTCCAGAATTAAGAACAGAGATACAGAGATGACCCCCCCCCCCCAAAAAAAAACAACCCAACCCCAACACATGACAAACTACAGTAATTATGCCACATGTACGTCTGTGTGCACTGTCTGACATTCCACCAATACAGGGGTCTATCGGTGACCCCACAACCAAACCAATTGCAGGACGGAAGGCAGGTTAACACTCACACCATAAACCATGCTGAGCTGAAGGGGGAGGGAGGTTGAGTGGAGTGGGGTGGGGGGGGGGGGTGTGGAGGCAGTTCACAGTGTTGAGTACAATGCTCCTCATGCTGAGACATGCCAGGTCTCACTCGGGCTTACCCAGCCTGGGGATATGGGACACAGAGGGGATATTGGTGGTGGACTTAGACTTGATCAGACACACGGAACGCTCCTTCACGTGGTTGTCCTCGCACGGGGAGTTCAGGCTGTTGCTAGAAGCTGCAATAAAACAACAGTTAGGGTAAACTGCTCTATATCAACAAAAGACAGCAGTGGTGGCGTCTTGAGAAGAAGGCTTCCCTCTGTAGTAACCTCTTTTGGAAAGAAATGAATCCGTGGGTGAAATTAACCTGAATGTATTATTTGTACCATATAAGACTTGAAACTATAAATGCTGCATCAGCCTGGGTCCAAATCAGGCTCTCCTGCTTGAGAGGCAAGCCCTTTACCTCCAAACCACCAAGCACACCTTCAGCAAGTAAAAGCGATGGATTCTCAGAGTGAACCAAGGACAAAACACTAGCACTTTATAGTTTACTATAAATCTTGTTCTGCCAGAAACCTCCATGTGCAATAAGCAGAACAGACTTACATTTGCCCTTCCTCCATTTCTTCAGTCACAAACAATATATGACAAGAAACACCACACACAATGGACTGGCCTTGTAGCTTCAATAAACTATTAAAAAATCACAGCACTCCTGACACACACGCATTAAAAAATATGGATATTTTCGACTGCCATAGCGCTCGCTCTACATAAAAGCAAAGGGGAAAAAATTTAATACATGATATGGCAAGCAAAGCACAACATGACTGAGTAATAATTGCAACTGCTGATATTTTAAACCCTCGTCGACACATTTTTTAAGACCTAATAGGAGGCGGGCTGCTTGGATCCTACATTTCAGGGCCAAACCAAGCGGAGAGGGATACAAAATCCCAATAGAAAGATGGAGAAAATAAAAAATTCTCCCTACTTGGGAATCAAACTCATTTCCTCAGCAGGTGATAGCAAAGTGCCTAACCACTACCTCACAGACATCGGCCAACATGACAGAGAAACATGAGAATATTTCAAAAGTTTTTGTTCTGAACAGAGGTAATCATGAACATAATAATTTGTAAACAATGTTGTTGGGTATAGAAATACTAACCCCAACAGACTAGCAGACACAAAACGTTTGTAACAATAGTTTCTGTGCCTCAAACAAACTCAAAATAGGGTCCAAAATTTCAGCTAAGATCTTTCATTCTTTCTCAAAACTTTCTTTTTGATTAAGAAATTTGATTTTTTCCATTCTAGTTTTGTAATACTTTGTTTTTTCAGCTATTATATAAGGTGTGTGGGGGGCAGCATCATAGGCCCATGTCAGTGTTGATAGTTTGTACATTCAACACACAATTCACACAAACTGCAAAACCAAAGAATGGACTGGATAATTCATGGACGGTGGCACTTTGAGAAGAGCCACCTGTAACAAATATTTAGTTATGGAGCATACTAGAGTGCTGAATCCATAAACAGATAACAATTTCAAATGATGGAACAGCTGCAGAATTTCCAACAAAAGTAAATGGGACTACAGTCAATACATATGATGAAAAACATTAAGGGCCAGCAGAGAAAGACTGGACATCTGCATTCATGAAGGAAAAGTGGACAATCTTTGGTTAATTGGCACACTCCAGTTGAGAAACAAAATTATTAAATCACAATTTGTAAAAAATGCAATACATTTGTCATTAACAGTATACCCAAAAAATACAAATAAAATTAAGAAATGAATAATAAAACAGCTCACACACAAATGGGGAAAAAAACTCCATTCACATGGACATATCTTATATTCTTACAGAATAGCGAGCAACCAACATAGCAAATAGCTGAAAAAACTGTTTATGTGGCAAGTCTACAAAATTTCCAATAGAAGAGTGCACATGATGTAGTTATACTAAAGGAAAAACATCCAATAAGAATTCCGGTACATGACAGATTCCAACCATTAGTACCTCTTCTACCCTAAAAACTTCTGAGAGGGCTACCCTCCAAAAACACACAAAAATAGAACAAAAATGAAACGGGGAATGATTGGATAACTTAATGGCCCATAAGATGGCATTTATATGACCACAAATGAGAAATCCTTATCCCATGCCAAGTGGTGTTATTTGATATCAAAATTATTAAGGAAATTATTCTTTAAAAGGAATTTTAACCTCAATCACCAGCAAAGTGTCACTTTCAACTTTGATAAACTGCATCATGAGCACATCCCACTAAGTTCGATATCAAGTACTGAGTAATACAGGCACACACCTGTGTACCGCAGCTCAGTCATACACAGCTAAAGCAATCACACACAAACTCTGGCACCCCACGCATACAGTACCTTCCAGGAGTAGGTGTGGGAAAAGGAGCGTAGTGGATGGGGATTGGGATGATTTCGGTCGGTCTGTCGCAGGAAAGTGAATAACAAAGTAAAAGAAGCTGCCTTAACTTACAAACAATAAATAAGTTGGGTTTTGTCAGGATGAAAAAAAAAGAACAGAATCAACCTAGCTAGGAGGGGCAATTTGTGTTCTGCCAGTGATCCGTAGCAGAAGAGGCATACCCATCAGTACTGTTACTATCTGTACGTGCTTCTCAATTTAATAAAGGCCACCTCTATTCTCACCCGGAGTGAGAATAGTGCAGGTGAGTCTTGTGGCTATTCTCACCCGGTGCGCGTTCACCAAATTTTGCGTTCACCCTAAACCACAGAATTCTACACTGTGATAACAGAAAAATTGTAGAATTCTGTGCCGTGAACAAACGTTCCATTACAACTGTAGCCTACTAAAAGCGTACAATTTTGTCTGTGGGCAGTGGAGAGAGAGAGAGAAAGAGAGAGAGGAGTAGCGCGAGAATTTCCGGGCAAAACAAAATGGAGACCCGCGTAGTTCAGCTCGATTCGAAAAGTTAAATAGCCGTAGCATCTTTGTAGACAACCAAATTAATTTACTTTTGTGTTTTAACATCATTTTTTAACTTTGTTTTGGTCAATTTGATCGTCCACACCGATAGACAGTATTCAGAAAGAGACAGAGAGAGAGAGAGAAGAGGGGAGGAGTTGATCTTGCGAGAACTTCCGGGCGGGTGAGAATAGCCACTTTCTTTAACAAAACTCAAGAACCTTTCGGTACACCAAGTTTTTGTCCCTTTGCTACTATGCCCATTTCATTTTTCATGAACATTTTCAATTCATGATTTGAGTCAGCCAGTATGATGTGTAACCACTTTTAACATTTCGCAAAAGACTTGAATTCACAGATTTCTTTTTAAATTATGAACTGTGAATTCAAGTAGTGGGTAACAACAACACCCCCCACCCCCTCTGAACAGTATGTTTAGCATACATTTCCAGTTCAGTCTCCATTATAAAGGGTCATAAACCTCCCAAATATACACATATAACTGGTTGTAAGCTTGGACAAGTTGACACCCAGAGCTGGCCAGGGAATATCTATATCAGTCAGCAGTACCAACAGCAGATGGAGCAACTCCTCAGCAAGGTGGGTGCCACATATGTGTCACAACTCTTGAAGTGTAGGATTGCATCTTTTTTCGGCAATTACTGTGTCTTGGATCTAGTTCCTTGAGAGTCAGTTTATTTGTCAAAGGTCCAAGCTAACACAAAAATTTAATACTGAGACCCCACTGGAGCGATTGTCTTTGAACACAGTATGGCACTACATTTAGCTCCCCCTCCTCCCTTTTCCAAGAGAAACCAAACAAGCCAAACAAAAAGTGGGGCGAGAGTTCTACCAAAAAAAAAACACAACCTCCCCTCCACTTCTTCCCCACCCCACTCACACTCATCAATTAAAAGTCAGAGAAAACACCCTCTCCTGGAATTCACATTCTCGTAATTTTTTCCTTGAATATGTGGAAGAAAATTAGTTGCATTTACAAACAGTGATAAAATGTAAAAAAGAAATGAACGTGAAAATTGGTCACCTATTGACCCATTTGTCTCTCACATTTTCAGTCACCTAGTGGTAGTCAGGGTGAGTCTCTACAATAATGCCCGCATTCATTAGAGAATCGATTGGGTCAAATATAACAGGAAAAACAAGTAAAAGGAAAAGACCACACTAAAGTGCTTCCCCCGAGCCAACCATCCACAAAGTACTTGATAGTGACACCCCCCCCCCCCCCCAAAAAAAAACCCAAAAACATATTTAGAATGAACTCACCTTTAGTGGAGACACTGCCACCAACAGTAGAAGCTGGGACACGTTTTCCTGGAACCTGGTGGGGGCCGTCACCTTTGGAGCCAGCCTGGGAGGTCTTGATTGTACCTGAATGAACAAACGTACCACTGAACTTCTGACACTGATCATTATTAATACGGGTCAAGTTTTACACTTCTGACTTAAAGTTCTTAAGTATCAGTACATTAAACACACATAAAACATAAATTCTTTGTTCGTACTGCTTTAACACAGATACCAACCAGCAATAGCAGAAAGTTAATCCATCCGTTTTGAGTGGGGGGGTTTTCTTACAATAAAGCTTTTTTTAAATCAGTAGTGATAGATCCTGCAACTTGTGGGTTTTGGGCACTGTGCCCAGTACCACAGAGGCAGTATTTACAGCCAAGACACAGTTGTTCAATAATTCCACTCCTTTCCTATGGAGAAATTGATTCCCCATCTTCTGCATGAAATGGCAAAGGGCCTGACCACTATGCCAGCTTATGCCAATCTCCAAATTGTGTCTTTAAAAAAAAATCAATGTGCTGAGTGCATGTCATGGTAGAAAACAAATTCTCCCATGCAAGGTAACCAAAGCCAGCTTTTCTGCACTTTTCTTTGAAACAAACCCTCTGAACAAAAATACCAGATTATACACAAGTCCATGAAAGCGTAGAAAAATCCTGACCAACCTTTCTTGGCACCTGGAATCTTCGACTGAGTCTCTTTCTTGTTTCCAACTAAAGAATGCCTCTTTTCATTCCCCTTCAACTGTTTTGCTTCTTCATCTTTCTTCTCCTTTTCTTCCTGAAATTTAAGAAATGGACACATTAAAAGAAAAAAAGTTTTTAATGCAAAGCAATGCAGTCTAACCTGGCTGAATTTCCATACTTCATTCTCAGATAAAGAATACCAAACCTGTCAATATAAAGTTTTAAAGAGCCAAAAATATAAACACACAAACTGATGATCTCTTGCAGACAACAGAAATCTTACTGTAAAAGGTTTCTCACTAGGTTTATGTAAGCTGAAATTTGAACACCAAATTTTACCCTTGCAATCATCTCCTTTTCTTCATCTTCTCTTTTGAGGTCCTCTGTTTCCTCTTCAGTCAGGTTCCTTCGGTTGGTTCTCTGTAAAGAAAAAAGATTCAAATAAATAGAATAATTTACAGCAGTGGTTCTTATCACGGGTTCTAACAAACCAGAAGGGTTCAGTGAGTCAGTCCAGTCTAAGGACTTTGGCAGAGGTCAAGACAATGTGTGTTTTTTAGTTTTAGTAAGTGTTTTACGGCACTTGCAACACAATAAGGTCATATAAGTGCCGAAGATTAGAGGCGTTACAAGAGAGTAACAAACATAAAAAAGAAGGAGGAGAGATAAAGACGTGTGTCTGTGCATGTCAGCATATGTGCAGGTGTGGGGTGTGTATCTGAGAGTGTGTGTGTGTGTGTGTGTGTGTGTGTGTGTGTGTGTGTGTGTGTGTGTGCATGTGTGTGTCTCTGTGTGTGCACATGCACGTGAGCATGTGTGTATGTCTATTTCATTCATCCCTTTTGCAGGGTTTGGTGAATGCACATATGGAACTTGCAGGGATCAGTACCCCCAGCAAGGTTAACAACGACTGATGTTTAGCCAGTGAGAGATGATTTTGAAGCCAGTGAGTGATGTAAATCTATACCGCCCAGTCCAGAAACAACAAATAAGAAATTGAAATTGTTTTGAGTAATTTGTATTTGATAGAGAGAAGCACATTGGCATAACAACCTAGTCACTTTACCAGGGCACAGAGAGGTACTAAATTTACAGAGAAACAAGTTCAATACAAAGGAATTGTTTGCTTTAGTAAGTTTTCCCGCACTAGCAACACTATAGGGTAATATAAGTGCCAAAGATTAGAGGTGTGACAAGAGACTAACAAACAGAAAAATGGAGGAGAGGTATGGACGACAGATGCTTGATAGAAAAGGAGGAGCAAAACCACACTAAACACCCTCTAAAAAGGACTGCAGCATTCAGCAAACTCTGAAGACAATAAAGAAAGACAGAGGGAGAGAGGAGACGTAGAAGAAAAAAGAGTTTACTCTTCCACTTACAGTGCTGTCACTTCCTTCCTGTATCAATGTCAGCTCTTCAGACATCTAAATGTAAAGAAGAAAAGAACATTGTGAAATATTTTAAAGTGTCAAATATTTTTGACGACTGCACATTTTATCGACAAAAAATATACAGTGGTCTATAAAAATTGTTACCCATTTCAACTGTTTTCTCATAATAACACTTCAAAATAACTGAATTTACTAACGTGTAAACCAATCACAAAATCTGTTTAATTTTTTTAAATTGCATAGACATTAAATGGAATTCTAAAAAATAACAAAAACTAGAGGACGCGCACATCAGTATAACACATTGGCATAAAAATTGAACTTGCTATCTCCCTCTCTCTCTCTCTCACAGACACACACCACACATACACATCAACCAGACAACCTAATAATAAGGCATACAATATAAAATCACTGCCCCTTCCCTCTCTCTCCCCCTCTCCCCCCCCCCTCACTTCCCTCCTTCCCTTGGAGGGAGACCAATAGATACAGAGTTCACAATCAACCTTAAGAATTAAAAGTCATCATTTTCAACTTTACTTCAATCTTTTACAGACCAGACAAAGGAGTAATGGCAAAACAAAACCCTCAAACACCACGAAAAATTTTTTGAACTTAAAATTTTTTTAAATTCCCACCTGCTGGGCAGCATACTGCACATCACGATCTTTATCATACACGATGATCTGACGTACAACCGTGTCCAGCGATGTCCGCAAACTCTGGTCGCGCGGCAATTTGAGCGACCGCTTGAGTTCTGGCAGGAGGGAGATGAGCTTCATGCGCACGGTGGCGACGCGGTCGGTGCGTAGGCTCAACACGTGCTCATACAGGGCGTCCTTGAAGGCTTGCTTAGAGTTCACCTCCAGGTAACAGCGAGCAATTTCTACAAAGAGGCTTCGCCGATGGCAGCTTTCATTTCCATGGAAGTCTGTGATGCGCGAAGGAAAAAGGATAAACAGAGTCAATTTGTGCAAGACACATACAATACAATAAAAATTGTCGTATAACGCAGCAAAAAAAAAGAAGGTATTTCTACTTTTTTGTTTGCCATTTTGTTGGGTTTTTTTGAAAGATAGTGCACACTGATGTGACAAAGGCAACTCAGCCCTAAGGAAAAGCAAGATAGATTGACAACAACAAAGAAGGCTAAAGAAGCAGGACCTCTCAGTGGCACCTTCCAGCTACCAACAGAAAAAGTACTTGGTCTGTTGCTTACAAAGAGTCAGGATGATAAACAACCACATTCTTCTAGGAACAGACAAGGACAATTGACAGCGAAAGGAAGGTACAGGAACAGACAACATTGCAGCACCTGCTATACCACTTCCAAACTGGTAAAAGAAAGAATGACAGATACAACCAAATATAAAGGAGAATTGGAAAAAAGTAGGACACACTAAAGATCTACTGCTATTACCCTGGAGGAAAAACACTACTACAGAGGAACAAAGCAGGAGGAGGAAACCACACGAAAGAAGCCACCAACCACTTTTAAGGATTCTCTTGCCCTGACTAAATGAAAAAAAAAAAGACATGACGTAAACACAGTACAAACTATATTTAAACTTACCCTCTTTCAACATAGCCAAGATGTCCTCTCTCTGTTCCTTGTACCGTAAGTGCCGAGTGAGTATAACGATAGTTTTAGCTGCTGCTATCCTCACCGGCAATGCCCTCTGGGTAACATAACATGACAAAATATTTGTAAACACCCTCTCAAAATTGTTACTAACTTTAAAGGCTCAATTGTTTAATCATTCCAATAAACATGAGTGAAAATATGATGCGAATAATTGAAAACAAGACAATTCTTTGCATTAATCTCTGAAAATTATCACCAACTTTGTAGAAAAAAAAGAATAGAATTTAAATGTTAAATTCAAAGAGCATTTTAAAATTTTTGTTTTGCTTACAAAAAGATACTGAACACTACACAAAAAGATGTTGAAACAAATCTAACACTAATTCAGATTACTCTGTGCAATCCAGTCATAATGAATCTTTAAAATCAAAATCCTTGGGTCTAGACATGTATGTATGATGCAGTCCACATTCATCATGAAAACTCGAATCATAACCCATGCTGAAAATATTTTGACTAAGATATTTGAAAACAACAAAAAATACATTTAGATCCAATAGGACCAACAACTGTAACCTTTCTTTAAGCAATCATCACAGGCTATTTACTTTGTCTACATCGATCTTAAGATTAGTAACTCCAACTCTATCAAATCTGATACGCTTCTATATCCATACCCATTCACTCATGACATTGGTATGTGCAAGACCAAACGTTCTACTTCAAAAAAACCTATTGTGTTCAGAAAGTATAGATTTCACCTGAAAAGAAAAGTAACAATAACCAATGCTTCCAAAAACTCCAAAAGAGAAAAAGAAGAAATATTTCTTCTTTCTTGGTAGCTGAAAATAACTGTATTCACAATAAGAGAAAATATAACATGTGTCCATAAAATATCAAGACAATCTCTTATCTACTGTCAATTTAAGAGAACATTCTTGTTAATGGAACAATCCGATAATTATAGATTTTTGCCTTATGTCTAAAAATCAGACACTATATAAAAGATGAGACTATATGTCGTCGCCTATGAACATTTTGTCCATTGTCCATTGTTTCAGTAAGCAACATCCTTGCATTTCGGACAAGTCCATTGACGCTCCGTTGCTCTCTCCAAAATGCCGCTGAGGGTCTCTCTACTGATATTTTGTCCAAAGTGTTCTTAACTATAGAGTGCACTTTGGACAAAATAGTTCTGAGGCGATAATGAGTCAACAAGTCAAACAAAAGACGACACGTCGGCAAAAAAATTTCATGGCGCCAACGTACCCCAGTCTTGAGCTTCTCAGCCACCAGGGGGAGCACCTTGGTGTAGACATAGTCGTTGTTGCACAGCTGCCACAGACACTGCATGGACTCCAGCATAGCCTGCTGGGTGCGCCAGCACGGAGAGTTGAACACAATACTCTCCGCACGCAGGAAGCTGCTCACCACATCTTGGACCACGTGAGCCTGCACATGAGAAAGCGATTTTTTTTCCTCAGACTAGAGTTTTCTTCTTTTTTCATTTTTTTTGGGGGGGTAAGTGTTTTAAGGCGCTCGCAACTGAAAAAGGTCATGTGGGCGCGCGGGAAAATAGGTTTAGTTTTCTATAACCCTCTCAGCACCATAAATAGGTCAGCAGTTCAGCACAACAGAACCAAAATGGCGTCCGCTGATGGCTTCCTAGAACCGAATAATTTCAGTGTTGTTCCGAGGTTCAGGGGGTGTAGCAAAGAAATTGGGGGTTTTTGGGGTTTTTAAAAAATCTAAATGACGTATATTTCAATGAGATTTCACATACATTAAAGACCTAGGACGTCAGCATCAAAATTTAGAGAGGACTTTTCTTATTTCTAAGTCTGCACTACAGGCCAGCGTGTCAGGCTGGTAAAAGCCGGTATGGCTCTATGTCGGGACAGCCGGTAAAAGCCAGTATGGCAACATGACAGGAAGGCTGGTTTAGGGCCGTATGGCTCAAAAAGGGTTAATAATAATTTTGCTGTCTATAGTCGAATACCCATTTTCACCTCGGAGAAACAAGGAAAATTCATGTAAAGTGCCTTTTCCAAGGACATAAGATCTTTTGGTTGCAAGCCCAACAGCCTAACCAATACTCAAGCAACACCAGATGTGCTTGTTAAATAAAGATCAGTGGTGCTACTAGATGAACATACCATATCACATCACCCGCCAACCACCCACGAAAAGTCCTTACCTTGTGTTCTGTGAACTGGTCCACACCCTGATTCGCCAGAACACCCATGATGGTTCGGAAGTTCGGTACTATTGCCTTTAGAACCTATTGGATGAAAAAAGACAATAACATAAATCAAATATTTTTTAAAAAACATTCCAGAACTTGAAATCTTACTTATTTACAACTACCTTGAGCTATATGGGATAGCAGCTAGAAACTTGAAAGGATAACCAAACAAATATGATGTGATTACCCCTGAACATTTTTGCCAAAACTTCATACTTGTGAACATAAAAAGAACATAAAAGAATCCAACCTAACCTATCAGACATACCTAATCCTAAGGTCTTTACTTTCTAACTCCCTTCAAATTTCAAAACCAAAGTCTTTGTACGATTAAAAACCTATGAAATAAACATGGAAATCACATACTGTACGTTGACCAAACAAAGTTTATAAGAAACACTTAAAATAACCCTGATTCACTGTGTAGTGTTCTGTTATACAGCTGAACACTGGAGATAGAATCAGTTGGAGCACACAAAAGAACTATGATGTTGATGTTTATAATCAAAACTAAAACTCAGAATCGTATAATCAAACTCACCAAAAAATTTGAGCTAAAAATATTCCGACATGCACATCAACAATTTCATAAACATCAATGCATTCAAGTTTCTTAACAGCTGGAGCTCCATCCATCCATCGGTGGAAAAATAGTACCTATAGCAAGAGACAAAAATGCGAAAAGACATACAAGAGCAATCCAGTAACAAGTACGTACCTCCAGGTCAGCATCACTGAGCAGAGAGGTGAGTTCAGGAAACACTATGCTAATGTTGGCCCCTACTAACCGGGCCACCTGAAACAATAAACAGATAGTAGGTTATTCAGGAATCAGTATGACTTAACACTGATTTAAGATTTGATAAGATATGTCATAATGAGTAATAGATAAAACAAATATTAAGAATATCTTCTTCAGTGCCTTTATGTCATCTGCCTCTCAGGAATAAATGCATTCCCAAAGGGGGGACATTTCTCGTTCAAGCACAGTAGAATTGTAAATGGGCGATTCATGTCACGCTCATAACTGTGCCTGATCTACAACAGGGAACTGCTGCTTTTTCTTTCTTAATCCTTACTATAGTCATTTTCCTTTACTTTTTTTGTATGTTTGTCACTCTCTTGTGACCTGCCATTTCCGGGGTGCCTTGACAGTTGAAGCAGACCTTGTGCTGTTGAAGCTAGAGAGGTGAGCAGAATAAGTCTGATTCCCTGTAAAGATTTCTCTGTTGACACCCACCCCTTGGCGCTCATATGACCTTATGCAGTTGCGAGCGCCGTAAAACCCTCTACTAAAACTAAAGGAATAAATGCACTTCCACAGCTATTGATGCACATAATTTTTATAGCACCACCTCCCATATGCACACATTGCACACAGCCCTAAGTGCTTTACATAAATAGAAAACACTATTTTGTGCAAATCATATTTTTATTGTAACAAATCGGAAAAGCTTATAATTTTAACAAAATCAACCTTTAGAATTTGAACCCTATTAAATCTTCAGTAGAGCTAGTGATATAGACAACAAACTTGTAACATTCATCCCCTTACCTCGTGAAAGCCTCCTGCCATTGTCTTCCTCACCATTATATGAGGGTCTTTGCACAGTTGAGTGAAAGAAGGGTACAGTTCTAATCTAAACAGTTTGGCTCCAATAAACAGCACCATAGCCTGAAAAAGAAAGGAGAAACAACCTTATTCTCTCAATGTACATGATATACACATCAAATAGGCATGGAATTCTCAAACTTTTACTACCTATCCATGGCCCATTATTTTAATCTTTTATTTATTTATTTATCTATTTATTTATTTATTTTTGCATGGGTAAAGAGAAAGAAACTGAGACAACAATGGTTATGCAGAGTACCGAGAAAAATGACAAACAGAAATAACTAGGAGAAAAGAAAGAAGCACTTGACAACTCTCCCCGCTGAACGGAATAGACATATCCATCCTAACATAATACACTGCAAGGAATGAAATGTCAGAAAAGCCATGGTGCTAAACCTGCATGATTGCATTAAGAATATGTATTCAGTAAATAGAATCATAATAACTCTCAAGAGGAGAATTAAATATATGGTGGAAGCTCACAGGAAAGTTGTATGCCGCATACTGTCGAGTCCAGGTGCTGTTGTCAGGAACACTTTCAAAGACATCCAGCGCTTCTAAAAGCTGATCAGGACAGAGAGAGAACAGATGTAAGTCTGTGGTTTGAAGAATATTTAAACTTATACAAAATCATTTTCATTCTTTCAAGCCTTTTGATTAAAGTACTTTTATCTTACTACCAAAATACCTTTATCCTTTTCCATCTTTTGATAAAGTTGAAATGTACATCAACGTAATAATTGTGACTGAGAGCAGTAAGAAATATAAATTAGAACAGCTTAAACTACAGAGTGAGAGTACAAAAGTAAAGCATATTAACAATCCACCCTCTAATCCTTCATTTGCCCAGCTGACATTTACATAAAAATATCTTACTATCCAGAGTACATTAAAAGCATACGATTTGAGAAAAAAATGACCTAGCATCTCAAATATTTTGTCACGGAAAACTCTTACATCACTGAAGATGCGTAAATAAATTACAATTGTTATAATATACAAAGATATATTAATATTTCCTTTTGTACACACTTAGAAAACATGCAGAAGATAAACAAAACAAAAATTTTTCGAGCTTATCTCCATCTTACCTTTGCGGTATCCTCCTTATTTTTCTTTTCAGAAACACCAACTTTGGTCAGCTTCTTGAAGAACTCTTGGAAATATGTTTTATCATCAACAGTCATATACTCTGAAATAAACAATAATTTTGAACATGAAAAAAACCCCTACATCCACTATATTTAGAATCACTTTATAATCTACTAGATAGTTCTCTCTGGAACACATACACCGACGTAGACTCATGCATGCATACCGAAAGTGCTGGGACATGATGCATGCAGGCACACACACACACACACACACACACACACACACACACACACACACACACACGCACACACACTCTCTCTCTCTTTCTCTCTCTCTCTCTTTCTCTCTCTCTCTCTCTCTTTCTCTCTCTCTCTCTCTCACACACACACACACACACACACTCTCTCTCTCTCTCTCTTTCTCTCCCTCTCTCTCACACACACTCACTCACACACACACACACACACACACACACACACACTCACACACAAACACACATATACTGAAACCATTACACTTTGCAAAACAACAAAGTGTTTATTACATTTAATAAAAGCTAACAACAAAAGCAAAAAAATCTTAAACACCAAATGAAAGCAATAAAAATAATGCTAAATAGGGAAGTCAAAGTCGTGAATAGCAACACATAGACTGGGCTGTGAAGGATGGACTTACCTAACAAACTATGAGATAATTTTCCAAACAGCTTTGATACTACAGGCAAAGTTGAGTCTACATTGTTGATGGCTTTCTCACACAGCTCTCTCACCATGGGAAGAATGGCATTTACATTGGCTTCTGCATAGCATAGAGGAAACAAAACAGTCAATAAGATTAATATCAGTTTTCAGTTGTTTTTTTCTTTAGTAAGAATTTTACAGCATTTGCAACACAAATAGCCCATATATGTGCCAAAGACAAGAGGTGTTACTAGAAAGTATCATGAAAAAAAAAATTAATTAAGAAATAGGAAAGAATCAATATCAACCGTTACTCTTTCAGTGTCATAATATAAAAATACCTGGCATGTCATAGAATGACACACTTTTCCGCTTCTTCACTTACCAGGGAAAATAAAACTTGTATCAAAAGGGATAATTAGAATTATTCCATAGAGCAAGACCAAACAAAATTTCTTATCATCATCAGCTTTTAAAAAAGGACCCTCAAAAAAGAAAACAGTCAAAGATGTCAAAAATGGTGAAATGGTATAGGTATATCAACACTATTAGTATATTTAAGAGGAAGGACCTCCAAGTTAAACGTCCATCTCTGAAAGGACCAATAAAGTCCATCCCCAACATTTAGATGGATCACTCACAAGACTAAACTACACACTTCTGCATGCAGGAAGCAAAACAGCACTAAACAATATTATCATCAGTATTCTGAATTTGAAGAGCGGAAATGATGAAAAAGTCACAAAGTAAAATTTAACAATTCAGATCCAAAAAAGGTTGGGGTTTTTTTTGTAATGTAGGCAATTTACGTCTTCATCAAGACAGTTTATATCATTTACGAGGCCCGGCTTCAACCATACCTGTCATGGTGAACCTGGACTGAGAGGACAGCAACACCTCAGCAGAAAGACATAATTAAATACTCAATAAAAATCCCCCTCATTTGGTATTCATTCTCAGATCTCCTGCCTGCAATGGTAAAACGCCTAACTGCTACACCACAAAAGATATATAAGTAGCAAGGTTAATAAAGATTTCTTACTCACACAAAAAAATATGAAGCTCAACTGATTTACAAGAATACTTTCAAACTCCCAAATATTTTAAATTCAAAATTGTGCAAACAAGTGGTGTGCTTACCTCTGTCTAACATGGGTATAATGTTGGTGGTAGTTTGTAAGCAGGCACATATGACACTTTGAGACTCATCCTCTGACAGTTCTATCAACTGGGGCAGGAGCTTGGACTTGGTCAGATCAAGACTGGACAAGAAAAACAAACAGAAGGGAGGGCTTGAGAAGTGTACATGTAGCAAAGAATGTGTTTCAAACATTAAGTATTTACTGTCTCTCTCATACATATAAATATATGCAAGCACACACACACACAAACACAAACACACACACACAAACACACACACACACACACACACACACACACACACACACACACATACACACACACATACACATACACACACACAAACGTATTATATGTAGATAGATATACAAAATATTATATTATACACATTATATATTTATATGTACATACATACACATCCTAGTAAAATATAACAGTGATGTAAAACAAACAAAAAAACCTCAGCCAAACTGCACAACAACAAAAAACCATGGCCATTGGCAGAGACCTCAGAGACTCGATAAGGAATATGAAGAAACTGAGTAATTTATTAGATATTCAGAGGTTAGAGTGTACGAAAAAAACAACAACTTTACTTTTTACTTTTTCTGTCATCTTTGTACCACAAGGTTTGTGAGGAGATGTAACGAACCACATGTTTTGGCTTTTAGAATGTCATATTGTGCCTTTGAAGGGTGTCTTTGACTTCATTGATCCATCTTTTCCTTGGTGATCCCTTTGTCTTGAAGCCATAAAATTTCACGATTTGGGTTAAAAATTAATCTCCCTCCCTCCTCCTCCCCCAAAAACAAAAATTAATTTTGAAATCAGTGATGAATTTATTGTATTAGCAATCAGTGTTACAAACATGTTTGAGACTTTTTTTCTTTCTAAAGCAAACACAACCAAGGAAAGAGCAACTCACCCAAGTCCTTTTGCGACAACGTCGAGCCTCTCACACATGCAGGCCCTGACATCATACTCCACGTCACCGCACAGCGAGGACACCACGGGCAGCACATCATTCTTCACGCTGGAGACCAGACAAGAAGAAGCAGAGGGATTGAGAATATCATCGGGCAGCTGTTCAGATGAACTAAACCTCAAATTTTGAAAAGCTTGCTTCATTGTTGTTTCTTAACCTGTGATATTGGTTGCATGTGCTCGAGAAGTTTTGCCAAAATTCAAATAATTCTATATGTTGAAAAGAAAAACAAAAAAACGCACATATAACGTAGGTACATTTTTTACTGCAATGAAACAGTTTTCTCTCTCTCCTGAAAAATGTTTTCTGGGCTTAGAACAGTAAAACGGTTGCTGACAATTTATGTTTTGGCCCCGTTAAATCATCCAGGAGATGGGTAGCTTCAAATCTAGTTGTTAGGGCCAACCTGGGCTGAGTCAGACACAAAGCCCCAGCAGATAAACTTGGATACTCAATTAACATTTTTCTACACTGCAATCAAACTCATGCCTTACCATTTCTCCACAGATGCTGGTCAATGAGGAGTTAGTCAACATTCCTAGGAGGGCCTCAGGAATTGTGGAGCTAGCAATAAGCTTGGCATTGCTTTAACGAATCCTTTTTTATGCAGCAAAGGTTATTTAGGACGAAGGACCTCCAAATTTGATGTCCATGTTTGACAGGACCATGCCAGGTTTTAGAAATTCCCAAAACAACCCAAATAAAAGAACAATAGATCGTGCATGCATGTGTGCGTGTATTTGGTGTGTTTGTTTGTTTGTGTGTGCATATTAGCATGAACGCACAATGATGTGTGTGTATGAAAGTGCCTCTTTGAGAGTGAACGTTCCTGTGAGTGTGTATGTTTATGTGTTTAAGTATATGTATGTATGAGCATGTGTGTGTTTGTGTATACGTGTGTGAGTGTGTGTTTATGTCTGTGTGAGTGTGTGTGTGTGTGTGTGAGTCTGTCTGTGTGTGAGAGTATGTGTGCAGTTCACAGTCTAGGAATTCTCATTATTTTTAAACTTTCAAGACCGAAAAACATACCATCAAGTCCTTGACAACTGCATCTTTATAACATGAGATCAGATAAGATTGATACTTTATCGTCCCAGTGGGCAATTTTTCCATACCATAATTATCCCACAAAAAGACATCAATATAGCTAGGAAACGTAATCTGGAAACTCACACAAAATTTTCAAACACCGATGACACTTTTCCCAGAATTTTACAACACGATATCCGGGCTTGGAGTGTCTGGCTAAGCTGTCCTTTGTTGACGGCTATGGACAAAATCTGAAATGGTAGGGAGAAAGAGAGAGCAGTTCTGATGTTAGTTCCACATAGCAATGTAAAAGAATTGCACCATTTATAAAGTGGTTATAAAGTCACAAAGGAATATACACGATGTAAGAACAATGTTGAACTCAGTAAATAAGACAAACTGAATCAATATGATTCAATGAGAAAAAAACTACAGCACACAAGTCATAGGTGTGTGTACACAACCAACAACAGATCTGCACTCAAATAAAGAGCATGGATTTTTTAAAAATCTATTTGTTTGTGTACAGAGACGCACATACACACAATAACATCATTTAGGCAGAGAAATAGTCAGACAGATTAACAGAAACAACAGAGGAAGAGTAAAGAAGCAGAACCAACCAAAGTCACTTTCCAACCATCCATATTTTCGATCCATAGCCATGACATGTGGTAAAAAGTTAATGGTACATAATTCATAGTTTAGCGTACGATCTTACGCTGCACAGTACAGATACAGCAAAGAGGAGAACAAAACAATGTACACACTAGAAGATCTTTGAAACACAGATCACAATGAATAAAAAGATCGTTAATCACATTAGCCAGGGTATCACTCAGTTGAAAAGTAGTCTAGAGATAATGGCCACATGTCACTAGTAACAGAACAAGATAAGAGAAACATTTAAGAGATGCAGAAGAAGCAAACCACACCACAGCATCCACCAACTACCCACACATTTGACATGGCTCAAACAACTGATCAGTAACTGTCACTTTTAGGTAGAGACTGAATAAAAGCGCTAAAATATAAATGAATGTTATTACAAAAATGTCAGAAAATAAAATACAAATCAAATTTATACCTGCTTAATGTTTCAGATACTTTATATGACTAATTACATCAACGTCTAGATGACACTCCTTTTTAAATCTCATTGACATGATATGGAACATTACAGAGGTTAATTAGAAACAAATCAAACGGTCATTTTGCACTGACAAAACCCCCCCCCAACAAAACAAGAAGACTGACGGACCGAAAAAACCTAATCTCGTTAAGTAAAATAAAGACATTAAAACTGGACCTACCCGGTGGCATTCTCCAGTCACAGTTTACATGGGACATTATTAGGAAGACAGACAGGAATAATTAGAAGTAGATTGAAAGAAAGATTGCCAAAAGATTGACCACATACTCGTCCCATTCACCTATGATGTGTGTGTTATGTATGCAGACATATTGTCAAGTGTGTGTGTGTGTGTGTGTGTGTGTGTGTGTGTGTGTGTGTGTGTGTGTGTGTCTGTGTGTGTGTGTGTGTGTGTGTCTCTGTGTGTGTGTGTGTGTGTGTGTGTGTGTGTTTAGTTTAGTTTTTAGTAGTATAAGGTTTTACGGCGCTCGCAACTGCTAAGGTCATATGAGCGCGCGAAACACAAGTTGTTCACCTCTGCGAAAGTTCACTTCACGACTGGTAACTAATTTACTTTAAAATGCTAAAAAGTTAAAATATTCAAATTCGGTGTAAATACATTTGTGATCTAAAACAACTTTTAAGTAACAATAAAAATTTTTAATAATATCAGATTCACTTTACAACTCGCCATAAAGGCCAATGGCCTTTATAAAATTTAAAATTCTGCTGGGAACAACGACGGAGAAAATATCCTGCAATTTCTTGCATTTATAATATTTCCTTCGGATCTCTCCAAAGTCTAGACATTCTGTTAAAATGTGTCTAATGGTAAAATCTGTGTCGCATCCGACACAGAACGGCTTCTCCTCTCCCTGTAGGAGGTATTTGTGAGTCAGGGCCGTGTGTCCGATGCGCAATCGAGTAAAAATGTGTGTGTGTGTGTGTGTGTGTGTGTGCGTGTGTGTGCGCGCGCACGCGTGTGCATACTTGTATGTGTGTGTGCGTTGGAAAGGGGGGAATGGAGGGAGGTAGGAGGAGGAAGGACTTAAACGCATTGGATAGTGCCAGCTAAACGGCAAACATCTCCTATTGCTCTAGCTAGGAGTAAAGAAATAATGATAATCACAAAGCCAGAGGCATTAGCAAAACCAATACAAATTAATTGTTGTTGTGGTATGGATGGTTGTTGTTGTTGTTGCTGCTGTAGTTGATGATATTGTTGCGGCTGCTGTTGTTGTTGTTGTTGCCAATGATGAAGAGTGACACCCTATTCGCCAATGGGAATTGATGGAACGACAAATTGTTCTGTTATTAGTTATTGAATTGGGGTTCACAATAGGTCAGAATGAACGATTAATGAACGTGAACATAAGGGCAAATAACTGAAAGCTTAAACACAGTTAAACAACAAAATGAATAAAACACAAGTCTTGAACTCATTCAAATTGAGAAAGTGTGACAGTCAGCTAAGAGTAAAAGCGATATTCGCAGATGCCAAAAAAATCTCCCTCGCTACAGAAGCAAAAAATTCAGACTAAACGAAGTTGCTATCAGTGCCGGGAGACTAATCGATGACAGGTGTACAAAAGGCTCAAAGTCAATTGCACAAAGAGCATAAATACAAATACAATTTCAAAGGTCCTTCGCAGAAAATGAGGTGACGGACACAATATGTGAAGATTTTTTTTAAAAACCTCTATGATTTTTTCAATCGGCAATAAGGTAATAACCTATTTAATTGAAAGGACATGCTTTTTCAAAAATTACGTTAACATTTGCCATAAAATATCTGCTTAGAAAGTCAAGTTTTGCAAGTGCCTTGCTGAAATCAAAATTTCAAATGATCTTATGTTTGCAAAAGGTCTTACAGAATTGATTGTCTGCAACACCCCCCCCCCCCCC